GGAGGTCGCGAAAGGGGGTGGGTGGGACCCGTGGGAGGGGGGAAAGCTCTTTTGTACAACTCGGTGCTTGCATTAAAACCCCATTAAAACCTGACCTTATGTAAATCCGAGCGCTCGCTCGTTATAAAGCGACAATTAGAACGCATTAATTAATACTTTCTCTACATTTATACTGTCATTACGCCGGGCTCGGATGTATAAAACGCGGGAGAGGGCGCGACGCGACGGGCAGGCGCGAGCAGGGGGTGGGATATGACGGGGCGTGAACGGGGACGAAGCGAGAATGGAGCGCGAGAGGGAACCGAATGGGGAGAGGAAAGTGGCGAGTATGAACCACGAGGGGCGTAATGAGAGGTATGAGAAGGAGAGAAGTACGGACGGGCTCAGACTGAGATCAGCGTCAAGCGTATGTGGGGGTGGACATAGTAGGACGTCAAGAGCGGACAGGGCCTGAGCGGAGCAGGGGGAGGGGAAGAGAGGGCGAGAGGAAGAGAGTACGAGAGCGAGTGAGAGTGAGAGTGAGAGGGCGAGGACGAGTGAGAGCGCGAATGCAAGAGAGAGGGCAATTGGAAGTGCGAGTGTGAGTTGCGAGCGCAAAACGCAAGGCGACGGGGCCATGAGGATGTATAGCGATCAGAGCGAGGGCGAGGGCACGGATAGAGCAATGCCGTGGAGAGGGTGGTGACAGGATGAGGGATAGGGCGGGTGTGTATCGCATGGCCGGAGAGGGAGGGGCTGCGGGCGTGGGTGGGCTGGGAGCCGCGGAGAGGCGCGCTCTGACAGCCCGTGCAACCGGCATCGCTGTGAACCGCAGCCAACTGCGAACAGCCCTAACGTCGCGCAAACCGAGGGAACACGTCACTTCTGACACATCGCCGTGTTAAGCCGGACGGGCGTGATTCGGATCCATTCGCTCGCTGCACGACATCACAGAGCTGCAGTTGCCTCGGATGTAAAGCAAACGAACTGACATGAAAATTCCGTGAATCAGCGCACCAAAAAAAAACTACTGACGCTGGAAACATTTTACACGCACGCTTCAGTCTTTTATTAGATGATTCTGTTTTATGCACACAGTGTAATATGCACGACAGGTAAGCCACGTGCAACGAGTAAATAAAATAAAATATTTACCTTCTCATAATTGTGAGACCATGTAATGTGCATTCGAGCATAGCATTCGATCATTTTGTGCAGTCATTTTTTTAAACATAATGAAACTGTAATACATATTGTGTCAGATATATCAATAAAAGTCTCACCTGGAATGTACGGTACGTCTCTTACTAGTTATCGGACGGCAAGAAATCATTGCATTTCACAACAAAACGTGGCATCGCGTGTCACGTGACCATTCCACCGGAAGGCTAGAAGAGCCGTCTGAAAGAGGCGTCCGAAGGGGGTGCGGTTTCCAAGGCGATGTCTCGCGAGTACTCGAGGGCTTGGGAGGGGGGGGGGACAATGGCGCGATGAGGCGGACGCAGAGGCCGCGAGAGAACGGGCTGGAGGGGCGACAGAGAGGGGGAGGGAGGGACGCAGCCTCTTGGGCCGAGCGCTGCACTCGGCCTCCCGCCCGCGCGTGGCTGGCTGACTGAGCGCTTCGCAACGGAGAGGACCGCGCAGTCGGGGGCAACACGCGTTCAACCCGGGCCCTCCACTGAAGGGAGCGCGACTTATCATCCCCCCATCCCCCACACCACACGTCTCGGCGAAAGCATACGAAAAAATTACAAAATATAGTTTTAATTTTTATATCTATCTTGAATTATTTTAATGATTTATTTGACGTCCTGTGACATTATGGCGAGAGATAATATCTGTGCACAGAAAGATCTGGGATATCTCCCCTAACTCATAAACATATTAAGTTGAATTACTATCGAACTGGGAGAGAAACCTAATTCAGATCGGACTCATAGGCCCAGACACTAAGGTACAATACTTGTTTCTATACTATCTTAGTACCATACTAATTTCACAATTACTCCGTAAAACGTCGACACGTGTGTAAATATTGTTTTCCTGCTTTTGCTATGCATAACCAAGTTTCATGAAAGCCGTAAAATTCAACACATTTGTGACCCACTCGTGTTTCTTTTTACAGCACTCCCGGGTGCAAATTTACATTCTGAGAAAATAATATCTCAGACGAGGTAAGTAACTCGTAAGCAAAGCCGCACGGTCACTACATATCATCCCACGTCAAGATTGGTATTATTACGGCCCTACGGTTGTGAGGTGAGTGGTTCTACATAACAACTGCTGTCCCATCTATAATGTATGCGTGGCACACGAAATTAGAAGGTAAATTTTCCACAATTCCGTACATCGCAGCGTGGCATCATGAAGTTTCTACTGTGCACGTTGAATAAGCTAGAGAATTATGTCTGTTGTGACAAATGACTTCCTCCGTAGAGCTTGCCGAGCATACAGGTGGAGTTGGAAACGTGTAGCTGCATGTATACATAAATGAAACAGCTTTTATATTCCACTACTTTCACACGTTCCTTCACGATAGAGAAGAAAACGTGGAAACGACGTACGGACAGATGTACTTTGTTAAACCGGAATTCCACAAACACTGAACCCACTGCTCGCTACCGTGAATACGTCCCCATTATAAAGTGACATCACGGCGCAAGAAATTTGCATGAGGCAGTAAAAAAAGATAACATCCAGAACACGACCACTTCGCTTTCATTGTTACATTCTCTTTTCGCCAACGACCAATATTTCATTCTTAAAGGACCCCTTTTTTGATGTATAAAGCTTTAAGCACTGACCCACCGACGAGGGAGGTAGCGAGTAAAGACGAAAGACAACGAAGCAGAAAAATAAAACTGAGAAATAAAAATATCACAGATGAGGGACGTTAAAAATAATGAAAACGTTATTAGTAGAAATAGCTCTTTTTGAAAACGAAACGAGGTTTACAAAGGACTTCATGCATGTAAATAAATATTTAACAATAAATATGTTAGATCTCCTGTAGTTCGATGCTGAGGGGGGAATGTGACGTCCCGCAGGGTTCCTGGCCGGGACTCACCGTGACGGCGGCAGCGTCGTTGCGCGGCGACTGCAGCGGCGACGCGGCGGTGGCGGGCGCTGGCTGCGGCACGGCGTAGGGCAGGTGCTGCAGCCCGGCGTAGGGCGCGTACAGCGGGTAGCCCGGGTGCGGCGGGTGTGGCGCGGGCGGGTAGGGCGCCAGCGGGTAGCCCGCGGCGGCGGCGGCCGCGGCGGCTGCAGCGGCGGCGGCAGCGGGTCCAGGCACGGCCGCGCCCACCGCGGGGCTGCCGACCTGCGGCCCGCGCCGCCGCAGCCCGCGGTGGCTGCGCGCCGGCCGGGCCCGCGGCCGCCGCCCCCACGGCGGGCGGCCTCCGCCGCCGGGTCCCCGCGCCGGGCCCCGACCGGCCCGGCGGCCCACCGCGCCCGCCCACGACGGCTGCTATCGGCGCCCAGCGTCGGCAGAAGCTGCGGCGGCGTCGGCGGGCCCAACGGGCCGTGCGGGCCTAACGCCCAGCGGGCCCAGCCACGGCGCCCGGCGCGACGCGCCGGCCAACCTCCGGCGGGCCGGCGAGAGCGGCGCGCCGCGATTGGGGCCTGGGCCGGCGGCGCCAACCGCCAGTGACCCAGGCGGCGGCCGCCAGAGAATGGAGGCGCCGCGGAGGCGGGGTCCGGCCCCGGGCGCGGGGCGCCGGCGGCGCGCCGCCGCGGGCGAGTGGAGCCTGGGGTGCCCGCGCGCGTGGCGCCGCGAGGCGCGGCGCGCGGGCCGGCCCACGGGCGGGCGCGGGCCCTTGGTCACCGGACCGCGCGGCTGCTCCGCGGCGACGATGGCGCGGCGGCGCCGTGACGGCGGCGGCGGTGGCCGGCGGCCGGCTGCGGAGCGGGAGGCTGCGGCAGCGCCGTCGCCGCTGCTGCTGCGGCGGCGGCGGCGCGGGGCTGGAGAGGCGCGCCGCGGCGAGCGGCCGTCGAGGCTGCGCGGCGCGGACGTTGGCGACGGCCGGCGCTGGCGGAGGCCGCACGGGGACCGCGGGCGGCGCTGGCGCTGGCGGCGGCGGCGGCTGTAGGCGCAAGACGGCGGGCGGGCGCGGGGCTGGAGCGGAGCTGGCGGTGCGCTGGCGCCGCCGGGGGAGCCGTGCCGTTTGTTGATGGGGGGAGGGTTCACGGTAAATTCACGTCTGGCGCAGAGAGACAGGGGGACGGAGGGTGCCTCTCGGCGCTCGAGGGCGCTCGGCGGCACGCAGACAGAACATCGAGCTCAGCAGAGCGGGGGGCGGGGGCGGGGGCGGCGGCGGCGGCCGGGCGGCGAGGGCCACTCGGCGCCCTCTCGAGCCCTCGGGCCCTCGGCGCGCCCTTGCGCTGCGTTATTAACGCAAGCACTATTTGCGATCCGCCAAACGCCTCCGCCCCTTCCTCTCCTTCTGCGTCACCCGTTCACCCCGAAATAGTTCCGGCCACCCTTGAGAGGAACCATTTATAAACCCACAAGAGGACATCCCTCCCCGCAAAGAGCATGCATTATGCTAGGGATGCCCCTTGGGAAAGTGACAAGAACCTAGGCGTGTTCAAGTGTTTCCTGAAAAAACATCCTGAACCCCCCGGTGGAATAACATAGTGTTATAAAGAGGAAGAAGTATTTTCTTTTGGGAAGGAACACCCAACGCCAATAGCGCTCTGGAACGCAGGTTGGTACTCACGTTTTCGAGCGGCGGTGAAGAGGTCAGAACCTGCATCGGACCCCTGTAAAACAAGAAGAAAGCAATGTTAGAATGAGCCGCTGGCACGAAGGGTCGTAAAACTACACGCAACCGCTGAGGAATTTCGGTTGTGGAGCGAACAGGATATGCTTACATGAGAGTGGAAATTGCAATGAGGTTGGCTACAAACATTATAGTCAAATGTATACGAGAAAACCTGAAAGGAGAATCTGCGACGTTATTATTGGCCAGGAGAACATTTCATTTACCCCTGAGAAATTACGCTGACGTCACACTCTGCCTGCAACCACGTAACTCGTGTGAGAATCAGCAAGAGCCACAGCAATTTATGAAGATTTTTTCTTTTCTTTTAGCTACCCAGAAGAATCTCAAAGTCGTCAGAGGACATCTCAAGGGATCTTCAGGCAAAAGACATGGGAACGATTCCAGTAATGTGTAGCAGACTAAATAAGAAGAGATAGATTCGTTTAAGCGAAGAAGCATCTTCAATCTGAGGACGAGTTAAAAGTTCATCGTCACGAAAGCCAATTTAAATGGGCCGAGAAATTGCAGCCAATAGGGTCGCGCCTTCCACCGTCTACTTGGGCATCCATCAATCACGTCCGTAAACAAAACGCCATCGATCACCCAAATGACGAGAGCGCGGGGGAGTAAGAAAATTATTTTCTTCGGAAACGCGTCAGACGCCGATATTGGATTGTGGAGGCAGAATAATAGGGCAAAGGCATCGACATTGGGAGGAGCGGGGGGGAGGGAGGGGCGTACAACGAGCGACCGGGCATTTAGCGGACGGCGGGAGGGGGAGGGGTGAACGGTAGGAGGTGGAGGAAATTGGTTTATGGCCCGCAAACGCGGTCACCTTATTTCGCATCGCCATAAATTCGCATTAAGGCGTTTTGTGTTCTGCGCAGGGGAGGCCCTTCTTTGTGTGTGGGCGTATTAATATCGCGAGCGGTGCCCAACCACCCTCCGAAACTCAAGGGGAAGGGGGGGGGGAGAGCAAGCGGGCGAGACGCTGACAGGATCGCATACGAGAAAGGATGCGAGGGAGAAAGCGACGGAGAAGAAAAAGGGCAAACTGAAAAATAATGGCGGCCTGCAGGTTTATAGATTTTTGCGCCTGGAAATGGCCAATAATTGAAGCGGAGCTCGCGTGCCCAGGAAATCTACCCCGCCCTAGGAGCGTCGGTACGATAATTAAATCATTTAACTTTCATCAAACCGGAAGGGGAGGAGAGAGACGGGGAAAAATCCCCGGCGGTCGGTCGGCAGATTGTTATATGCGATAGCAGCGAGTAAGTCCCAGCAGATGGATCATTTCTCCTGAAAAAATATAACCGTGCCCGTACTGCTTAAAAACTGAGGAGAGAAAGGGCGCGGGGCGAGGAAAACTTCGTGAAACTTTCATTACGCATCTCCCACGAACTTTCTTTTTTTTCGCCCTTTTATCTCGGGAGGCGCGCAATTCTTGAAAGCAATAAACTTTTCATTTACATCCCAGCAGTCCGATGCGGACCTCAACTCCAAGAGAATGGGTCAGAGGAACGGGAGCGACTGAGAGGGAACGAGATAAAAGGGGGAGACAGACAGAGAGAGAGAGAGAGAGAGAGAGGGGGGGGAGAGAGACGCGAGGGAGGGAAGAAGCCAGGCAGACTTTTTTAAAAGTTTTCCCGAGTTAATGAAAATGTTCCCTGGAAATCATAATTAGTGCTTGTTCTAAGTGTCTGTTATTATGATTTAAAATTAGCCTGCCTCCGGTGCGAGGGGGATTGGCGCCAGTGGCACTTCACCACACGCATAATGACTCATTAAAAAGCAATTAACATCCACTTGATGTCTCGGCCTTAGAGATTAATTGTAATTTATTTTATTAGCCTCGTAATTTAGAGGTGGGTCGACGTCTGGGAGATGTACCTGACGCCGCGGCGACCGCTTCGGTGGAGACAGAAACTCTGCATATGCATGGTGAACGTGCGAGCGTGTTTGTCGTGGACACTCAGAAAGCGTATGAGTGTTCCCCGTCAACAACTCAGAGTGCACGCTCGGGCCACCGGCACAAAATGGGCGTGTTGTGAAAAAACTGAGAACTTAGGCCGGGTTTCCGCCAAAAGAGAAAGGGTATTCTTTAGAAAACTTGCTTCTCTCACTGGATAAATGTGTGTGGACAAATATGCAAGCACAAACCCGCCTTCGACTGAAACTGGGCAGTTCGCGGGGACACGTTTTCACAACAAACACGTATACACGTGAACAAGCACGTAGACACGTTTATCTTCAAATACTGAAAGCACACGTTTCATCTTCAAGGAATCCGTAGAAATATTACGGTTTTGAACGAGGCAAGAAAATATTTTACAAAATACGCTCCTTATATTACATTTTTTAAAATCAAACGAAAGTCACATTTAATGTATAACGACAGGAAACTACTTACGAAATAATTTCCAAACAATTGTTCATTTTTTTAGCGCTCGGAAAACATAATAAAGCTTCGGAATTGTACTGGTATGCCCGTATAAACATGTAATCCAAATACTGAATCAGTAATTTCAATCTAAAGGAATCTGATAATTTTTATTAAAAAATATTTAACAAACATCAAATATATTTAATGTAATACAGCAAATTAAGTTTCAAAGTTAAAAACTGAAAATGCTTACGTAATAATTTTAAGGAACACGTCTTCATTTATTTTAGATAAACCCAACAAAAACTAAGTATGGTGCGATATATTGTGACCTTTCTCACCAAAGAAACACATTAGTGGAGCCCTTAATCCGTCATCAACCTTTTTCCCCAGAGGTGTGATTGCGCATGCGCGTCACAGCTGCGGGAAGCGCGGCCCGCGGCGCCCCGACGGCCATCAACGGCCGTGCACCGCCTTCGCACCTGCGCCTGGGGTTCCGGCCCGGAAACCGAACCCGGGATGTCCGTCACGCGACGCCGACACGCGCGCACGCGAAGGTGACGAGCACCTGCCGCACCTACACCCGCCTCAGGAAGACTCAGTACGCCTAAGTACGTCTCCGCTCGCATCAGCTTGCCTCAGCACGCCACTGCACGTCTCAGCACGCCTCAATATGCCTCAGCACGCCTCAATATGCCTCAACACGCCTCAATATGCCTCAGCACGCCTCAATATGCCTCAGCACGCCTCAGCTTGCCTCAATATGCCTCAGTACGCCTCAATACGCCTCAATATGCCTCAGGTCGCATCCGTACGCCTCAGCATGTTTCAGTACTCTTCAGCAAGACTCAGTACGCCTCAGAAGGTGTGAGTACGCATCAGTCCGCCTCATCATTTCTCAGCACGTCTCAACAACACGCCTCAGCACAGCAGTACGCTTCAAGGGATCATCATGTCTCATGACGCAACAGTGCTACGCTCCACGGGTCTCAGCACGCCTCAGCGCACCCCGGTATGCCTCAGCACACTGAGGAACCTTCCATGCGCCGTCGTGCTGCTCCCGCAAGGCACGTGGGAGTTGTCAACGCCTTGGCGGAATACCGCGAATTTTGACCTCAATAGACCTAGTATTCTAGGTGCGGGCGCGCATATGTGGTGTTAAATAGAAGGGTC